TCCGACGCTCCAGTAAAGTGCCTGATCGATATATTAGCACGGTAGTTAAAAAATAAGAAATTTCCAATCGTAGGATAGTTAAAAACTATATTTTATTTTTTAGTAAATGAAAAATCCTCCAACTAACTAGGCTCCATTGGAAAAATAAATTAGATTCTCATAGATAGGAATAAAATTAGATTCTTAATTAGAAGGTAGGTATCCTCTGTAGTGACGACCCAAAATTAAATCCTACATAGAATGTAATTAGATCCGAAATTTTATTAAATACTTGCCCTTCGTTCCTAACAGCAATTCTATCAAAGTGCCATTATACTGGCCTAGATTCGGCTCGTTGCATTGGAATTCAAGGCGAACGCTTTCCCCACTTCTTTCCCTAATATCTACTTTTCTTTCACTTTGTCCTCCTGATGCAATAAAGGACTTTCAAAAGATGTTTTCGAGTTCTCTTGCCTGTTAGCATTTATTTTCGTCGGCCGTTCGCGATTGATTACTGGTATTTGAAAGGATTTTTTAGCGTTGGTATACACAAATTTGATTGTCCTGGCGCGATAAAAGGAAATTGACGGGGATGTTTTGGAAGGAAAATTATCGGAGCTTGTTAAAATCATTTTAGTCAAACGTGAATTTCGTTTAAATCCAAAGCAATACAACAGCAAAGATTGATACAGTAAAAGCTAAGGTAAAGTTATTAAATGATTGTTACGATTTCAAAGGATTTCAGATTTTAAATGATGTTTTCAAAGAATTTTTACAAGCTCTTTACTTTTATATAGTAAAATTAAAAATCCTTTTTGCGGGAAAAATTCTTTGAACGTTAAACGTAGCGTTTCCGATGAACTTATGGTTAGCTTCGAGCAGAGAAATGTTTAAAATTTTCGATTTTTCTCTTCAATAAACTCCCGCAGAGGTTATTAAGGTCATAATTAACCCTTTGGGATGAAAGAAAAAAAAGTCTCTGGAAAGGAAAAAACTCGTAGGAAGTTTGTAAGGACCGAGAAGTTGGCTTCTACCCTTCTTAAATTGTTCACCACCGAAAGAGCCCTAAAGTTAATCGCTTTTCCTCCGTTGCCTCAATAAATTTCTTTAATACACTGGCACATTTAGTTCCTGCGTTCGCTTTACATACTGCATATTATGTAATCTCCTATGTAGGATATAGCAATAAATCTTAATAAAAGGTATAAATATATGGTTATAAATAACTGTCATAAATTGGGAATTCCTGGCTATAATGACAAACTTCAGAAACGTTTTAAGTGAGAATGTGAAACTCTTACCTATATAATTTTCAGTCAATTATAAAAATATACCGGCCTTGACGCATACGCTAATTCAGCTAGGCTAAAATAGTTATATTTATCTTTCAGTGGGCCAATTTTATGTAGTTCAAGCAAATTTAGCGTGTCATAGTTATTTTAGTCGGATTCTTACGCGAATTGAAGACTGTCTACTTTTACAAGATACATCCACTTGAAAATCTACTCGAAAGCAATTTTCCCTTCTGTTCGTATTTTATTGGATCATCATTTAAACGAGTTCATTTTTACCGAAAGCCAAACATAAATCCAGCATCGATTTTTATAGTTAGTAGAACATTATTTATTCCGACAATTCTGTATAAGCCTATTATTAATTTTGTAAACATTTTTTAAACAATGTAAACAGACAGTGATGTGTGTAAAAATATTTACCAATTATAACTGTTGCGAATTTTATCCTCATATTTTAAATAACTAAAAGTTAAATGAGAAAATAAAAATATCCAAATATTTTTTAATTGAAATAATTAAATGCGTAGTGAGATTTAAATATAAAAAGTCATACAATATTGTAGTTATTTGTACGAATAAAAGATCATCATGTAATAAATTCTGGCTGGGTATCCAGATGCACTTTAAATTCCAATAATTGTATAAAGTATAATAAATTCGAATTTCTCTTATCGTTAATGCGGGAATGCGTTTTCTCGACGAATAAAAATCGCAGTAATTTCGGTTACTCGGGCATTTTTCGGTCTGAATAATAAATGGAAACCCCACTTGCGCGACGATTCCATTAAGATGATGACGGGAAATCGGGATCGTGCTCGTTCTTCGCAAGAAGATCAAGACAAACAAATCGAATATGCAGATTAGTCGGCAAACTATGTAAAATACATGAGGAATTTCGAACGGATAAAATTCAGTTAAGTGCCCGCCCAACTTTCATGGAATTCTATCGGGGTTTTGTTGATTTTTCTTTCGATAGGTCATGATTTTCGACGTTGTGAAATTTTTATAACTTTTGCGCTTTTTGAGAGTTTTTAAGCATATAAATCTAATTAAAGGAAATCAAGGAGGTTATCAAAAATGATACGTTTAACGAATATTCAATATTTCCGTACTATTATTAGAAATCAAAACTCAAGATATATTAAACATCATATTAGATCTAGAACTATTTCGATAAATCTAGCTTCCTGTATATTGGAAATACGCTTAGATAGTAAACATACCATCAATCCTAATGTTTCTGAACTCCGAATTAAAATAGCTCCATCAATGGTTAAAAATACCCCAACTATTTAAATGTCAATAAATATTTAGAAACTTTACTTTCGAACATGTGTTAACACATGTTACATATAACTCACTTAAGCTGATCGATTGGGAATTTATTTTTGAATAAAAAATTTATAGATAGTTTTACTTGATTCATAGACCTATACCGGTGTTTGTTGAATTCTTTCAATTCATCCAGTTATTGATTCTGTTCTTTATAGGCTTCCTCTGCTCAATTCAATAACTTCATAAATTGAGCATCTAACGGACAAAGGGCGAGAGAGTATGCACGTAGAAAAACTTGTCGCAATGCATACAAAGCCATTCGGATGCAATTAAAGCTGAGGCGTAAACTCTCTATCGAGTACATGTGAAATTACGTTATCGTAAACACCTACGGACAAAGTGCTCTAATACTGCATTAATCAAGTACCTTTCAACTGGCTGCGCATCAGAGATTCTCTATAAAAATGACTAAATACTCACTCACGAATACAGTATTGATTTAATGTCCGTTAATCCACTCATTGTGTTTTATGAACACTCCGAGTTGGTCCAGAGATACTCGGACTATATTTACTTAATGTCCTATTTTAAATATTAACTTTGATATCTAAATGAAGAGTCAAATTAACACAAGGTATTTTTTCGCAACTGTATCAACATTGGTCCGGTGTAGGGCTGCATAAACTACACCTCGCTAAAACAAACAGACATTGCGACAGCGAATTTACACTGTCGCTTCCAGTGACCAGATTCAGCCGAAGCGAATCACGTCGTCGAAAATCCAATTAGCTAATTGTAGGGTACGTATACGTAATTGCAAGTGAGAAAAATTAGCCGGCTCAGTTAATTAATTAGTCAACGAATCAGTATGGCACCGGAATCCTGATAGAAAAACCTACAGTAGTTAGGACTAATGAAAAAATCGTAAATTTTTACAAGATAATTTTACGAAAAGAGTCTGCTAAGTTTACTATTTTGTACAGAAAGGATCAGTATTGGTCTAACAAGTTGTATCATTTCATGGACAAAGAAAAGTTAATAGATAGATAAATATAAGACACAGGGTCATGGGATTTAAAAGCTACAAGGCAGTTCAAGCTCCTGGCAAAGGAAGGGCGCTTGGAACTGTTATCTAAATGGATATTAAAAATATCTCATCAATAATAAAAAAATATATCTTTATTTGACTTGGAGATTTAATTAAAAATGTTAATCAATGAAATTTCAATACGAAATTTCAACGTTGGGATCGACTATTAAGTTGGCAATATTGATAACAGAATTAGCTCACTGAGATTAAATGAAATATTCCAATGTAGCTAAAGAATATCCCTTATGACCTTAAGGCATATAATGACAGTTTAGCCTAAATTTGTCAATTTACCAAATTATTGTTCACAAAGGGAATCCAATCGGTTTAAATTTTTTGCTAAAAGTACACCTTTACTATGTAGACATTATTTTATTTTATGCAGTTTAGAACATTTTGAAAATATGGAATATGGAACTGAATATTGCGGGAATATTGATTGTAGAAACGTTAAATTGTTTCATAAGACTATCGAGCAAAATTTGAACAAATATTCCAATAATGTATTTATATATGGGAAAGGAGCACAAACGAACGAAGAGGAGGATGTGCTGGTCCTATTCGACGGTAGGTGGAAGTTGAATCACAGTTCAAGTGAAAGTTCGATTAGCCATCGAATAAATATCGGCGATTCCCCTGATACTCCAGCCGCCGAGAGCCAAATAGAATCTGAAGTCTCGAAAAAGCATTCGTACGAATCCAAGTTAGCCTGTATGTCCGAGAACTTTTTTGTCGATCACTGTATGCAAATATTCGAAGCATTTTTAAACACACCGAAAGTTATAAACAATAGGAAAAAAGCCCTGTATTCGGTGAATAAATGTTACCCTTACACATTAGACGAGGTTTACAGTTTGATAAACGGTTTCTCGAAATTCGAAATTTCACCGGAAGACGGTTGTCCTTTTTACGAAACCGACCTGGCGCAGAAAATCCGCAAAGACCGAAGCCGCTTCGTTACCATCAACAAGCAAAATTCGAAATTCCTAAAGAAGAAATTCAAAATGCTGATGCAAAACCTAAAGATAGTCACGCTGTGGGAGAAAGACGTGGCCAACGCTTGCACACAAACCGACAAGTCCTACCTGCGATTAAAAAGGAAACATTTCCACGAGAAAAAATTCAAACTACAAACAAAATTTTACCTGCAAACGTTGCGCAATATCGGCATTGCCATTTCGAATTAGCAGGAATTCCAATTGCGCTTCGGAAACCGTTTAAATCGCGAGTTGTATGTGATTTTGTTATTTGTAAAATAATTATTAATGTAAAACGTTTATGTCCGTACAACCACTTTATAAAAGTAAAATGGTAAAATTAAATATCTTTTATTCAGTTAACCATTAGCATTGTGCTCCTACAACTAAGATAAATGCTTAGAAAATGTTGCTTTATTTATATTCCAAAAATCTATCTACATTGGATTACCTACCCCTTGAACAAATCATCAATCACCATAATTCACTCAAGTTATACACCCTCTATCTTTTTTATTAGGATAAATGGTAATTATGATGTCTCTTCCGTAATCCACAGACATATTTTTATTGACATATCTAAACTCGCCTGGTTCGATGCAAATAAAATTCTTGTTGCATTTCCTCACTATCAGCGGGCTGCGTATGCTCGTCTGCTTGGAAGCATTGTCTCTGGATACGTTAATGCTTACGTGCTTCTTCGGTTTTTCAGTGTCGTCCAAGGAAGCTTGTTGGGTAGCCTCACTGGTGAAATCAGACGTATCGCAGGCGCATTCTTGGTCTTTGATCTTCCTTTTGGATTTCATTGTTTCCAATGAGCAATTCTTGTAAAACCCCAAGGAATTGCTTTGAGTGAAGTTAGCCGAGGGACAGTTGGATTCCTTGCATTCCCACTCCTTATTCGAAGTTTGAGTAAACGCGGATTTCTTCTTAGCTAAAAAAGCTTCGACGGAGCTAAATAGCTTGTGGTAATTGTCGACGCATCCTTTGCATTTGGTGAGAATACATTCTGATTTTTGCATAAATGAGAGTTTTTGGTTAATGTCTAACAATGTTCGTTTGCAACGTTTCAAGGAGAATTTGCTATCTTCGTTTCTGAGTTTGGTTTCGATATGTTCATGCCAGTTGGGGCAAGTGCTTCGAAAGCAACGTATTATTCGTTGTTCCTTCAAATATGGCTCGATAAAATCGCCTGGGTTTCTTTTGTTGCAAGTGCACGCATTGGAGAAATAATTCTGATTAACATCAACTTCTTCTTCGATAATATAAGGGCAATTATATTTGAAGCAGCGGGTTTTAAAAGGTTTGTGCAATTTTACGATTTTTGAAAAAATATTTTTGATGTTCTGTGATTTAGATTGTTTGGTTTTAATGTGGTAAATGCAGTTCAAATTTTCAATGAAATCTATAATGCTGGAATTAATAATTTTGGGAGTTGCAGTAAAAGTTCCCTTTGAAGTAAAACTTTCTTGGGCTTTAGTTTCTATCGGTTCTATTTCTTGTTCGAAGCAAATACTTTGGGCTGAAATCGTTTTAAGTACAGGAATTACATTACTCTTTTCCTTCTCTTCTGCAAAAGCTTCGTGATAACTTTTTGCCCCTTGTGCTGATTTTTCTGAATGTAATCTTCTCAATTGATATTTTTCGGGAAGGTATAACAGACTTGAACATTTTGAATTATCGTTCAATCTAGTTTGTGTTGGTTGTAATGCTAAACATATTATCTTCTGTAAATTTACCTTGAAACCGTCTTCAATATTGGATTTGCGAAATAAAACTTCTACATTTATATCTTTCTCTTCTTTAGGCGTTTGATTTAACTTTTCTCCTTTTGGTAATCCAATTGTTTTGAACAAGTTGTATTCTACTTTACTTTCACCTTGTTCATTGTATTCCGAAAACATTAGATTTTATTGTGAAAATGGAATATGTTTGCCATTTTTTAGGCGATGTGTTGACAATAAATTTTGATAGATGATTGATATAAAATCAGTTCTTTAATCACTTTGACAATGTTAAAAAATTAGGGTAAACTGTGGCATCAATGATTTATTGACAGGTTTACAAATGAAATTGGTTCAAATCCACCTAAATTTAGGTTGGCTTTTCGTCTTTAGAATTTTCCCCCTTGTAAGACAAGTAAATGAAGTTTCAAAATTTTTATAAAATGTTCAATTTCTTAAAGAACCCAGCAACAGTTAAAAAAGACAACAACCACTGTTATAAAAATATTTTTATTCGTTTAGTTTTCTCAACAAGCTTTTGAACTTTATCCTATTCTTAAGGCTGGAATCATCTTCACTTACAATATTACTTCTGTCGACAGGTTTGCACGGCGGTAAAACGTTTTTCGGCACTTTAACAATTCTACTTTTATCGATTAATTCAACAAAATTGAATCCTTTACGGGCATCAGTTGTACTGCATTTCTTACATTTAAAACTCTTAACGGCGGTTTGCGTGAAATCTGACACTAGACGGGCGTGGGATTTGTTTTGGGTTTTTTTTGAGTTAACATTTTTCACATTCTTGGGGACGTTTTCCGAGTAATTTGAATGTTGCTTTCTCGGGGGCTTCTCATTGCTTGCGGGCTTTTCTTGGTATTTTTTCGAATAAACGGATTGGACTTCCGGTTCCTGCAAGCGGGATGTGCAACGCGTTACTCTTCTTATGTTGTACTTTGAAGGATATTGGAAATGCTTCCTTTGGAAAATTATTTTTATGTCTTTATTTCGTTGATCTACATTGCTTGTCATTGTAGTTGAAAAACGGAAAATTTTGATGAGCTAATCACATAATACACACACACACACAATAAACAATTTGATACTAATTTGATACGTGATGTATTCTTCGTTTTTGTTGAATACTAAGTATTTACGCCTTAATTCAATCTTGATTTAAACCAAGTTTGTTAATATTAATAGATTTTACAAATTTTTTATTATTTTTGTCAGATATTTTTTCTCATTATATTAGCAATTTATACATATGTAAAATCAAATTGCACTAAATCATCAGCAGGGGTGGTTGCAAGCATTAGTAGGATTATTTTTTGATTTTTTTGCTAAACGCTTCTTTCCTTTTAATTCTGAATTGAATTCAGTAAGCTCTATTTCATCATTACTGCTTTTCGATATTTTCACTATCCTATTTTTGTCTATTACTTCTAGACTTTCATTATCCAGCATATCTTCAACTGATGATCTAGGACTTTCTTGTGTTATATAGCATTTGTGTTTTCTGCATTTTTCCTTAGTGGTTCTTTCAGTGCTTTCTTCAATATTAGAACATTCGGGCTCTGAGTAATTTGACACTTTTTCATCACAACTGCAAGGTTTTGGAATAAATATACTATTTGCGTTATCCCTGTTTTCCTGTTTATTACTTCTGAAAGGACATGTTTTTCTAAAACACCGTGTTATTTTCGAATTTTTACTATCCTTCGCCGATTTTTCTTCCATCAACCTACATGATTTGGTACTTTTCTATTTAATTGATTAAACATTTGTTCAGTATCGTTAATTCTTTCTTCAATGAACCAAGTTTTTTGCAAAAAATTTTGACACGCGTATGAAATTTGCCATCAAATTTCTTCTTTTTTTATTTATCTTTATTTATCTCAATAAATCCAATAGTACTCTCTGTTTGTTTTCACCTAACATTAACAGCTGTCTCGTTAATCACCGTTTGTTTACCACAGTTTCCTCCAGCGTGAAATAGACTGAAATCTTCGATAACACTTCGAGAATTACAATTTCACAATCATTTGTAATTTTGTTCCAGTTCGGAGCGACAATGAGGGTGGAGAGGTGAGAGGTAGAAGCCGAAACGCAAGAAGAGACGACCCCAGAAGGCACACCTTAGGAGGGGACCAGCAATATTTAGCCATGTCCGGCCAAGGAGGACCTTTATCGAGAACCATGGATCTCGAGGTAATTGAATATTGTTCAGTTTGTATTGTTTAATCAAACAACAGATTATGGATTATTGTGCTGATGAAGGTGCTTGTACATACAGTACATAATTAGTAGAAGTTTGAGACTATGTAAAAAGGAAACAATCGTACGGCGTGCACACGATATTCTTCCCATCGTATTAACATTATTCCTAAAAATAAAATTCATCTAGTTGACTGAACTAAATTGCGTGTTGCGGATATTTAACTCGAAGTTACGTAACACGGCGCAAACATACGAGAGCACGGGAACCGAGTGACCTCATCAATTAAAACGTTTTAACTAAATAATATTATGACCGGTCGGGTCCAGTCTCAATCAGCATCAGCATCAGCATCGCGGGTGCCCCCTTTTATTTCGTACGGAGCTAATTAATGCAGTTCGTGTCCGGGCTGGCTGAATCGAGCCGGGCGTTCGACGAAACGGGTTTATTCCCGTTGCCCTTATAATTGGCCCTTTAGAAGTGTATCGGGTTCGCGTACGATTGAAGGCACACGAACGGTTTCGTGCCGGGAATATTAATGTTGATGCCTCTATCTTTCGATACGGTGATTATTTCGTTAGAGTGTTGTTCAGTTTCTTTGCTGTGGAATGTTGGAATACCAATTTAGAATGATGGGGAGATTTTTATTTATTTAACCGTGTAGTTCTCTGCCTTTGGTTTGTTTTTGAATGGTTTTTTTGGTGGTTTTTGATAATTTTTTCAGGTTTTTTAAGAGCGTTTCAAATTATTTTTTTCAATGATTTAATAATTCTATAACTTTTGATACCATTTTTACATGATTTTTTCAAGTCGTAGAACTACAAAATTCCAAAACAAAAAATGTTATGTTTAAATAACTATTTCATACCGTTCAGACTACTTTAATTACAATAGAAAATTTAGTCAAATTCTGCATTAGTTTATGAATTTTCAAGAACCAGTTAAACTAAAACTAAAGAACTAAACAGTTAGAACCGAAGAATTTACAAACATAGTACAAACTTTCGTTTGTATATGAGACAAATTTAAGACAAAAAGATGTCAACAAATAGCATCGTATCGTTGCCGCCGCAATTGGAGCTGATCTCGCGTTCGATTCCTCTTTTAAAAAGAAAAAACCCGGATTATTGGAACTGGGACGACGCGGCGGGTGATCGCGAGCAAAGCATAAACACGAGCACGGTTTCTTTGCCCTCTTCTACTGGGAATTTCGATTTTCTCGGTGAATGCCAAACGCGGACGTTGGTTAAATTGTCCGAAACGACGTTTCCCATTTCGCTCCACGAGAACCAACCTGTTAATTTGAAAATTATGTTGCACGCTGCCGACCAGATGAGTTCTTCCAGAGCTAGAAAGGTAAATGATGTGGATGTCCTGTGTGTAGATAATAAAATCGTAGTCGTATATTGTTGGGTTGGCTATGAGTTTGCCACGAAAAATTGAAGAATAGATGCACTAGAAATGCGAAATTGTAACATTAAATCTCAAACTCAAAATGTAACTTTTAATGTTATTGTTACTTACCACTTATAACTATACAATATTATAATATAGTTAAAGCATGTTACTAAGTAGATTTTCGTTCGAACCGTAGACTCAGTTAAAGCGAAACAATTCATTCAAATCATAACCAGGTTCCAGAAACTTTTCCCTCATTTTTACCATTGTTAAATGCAAAACCTACAATTATTCAATTCCATTTAAGCAACTTTATACTCTATAGGAATTAATTTATCTGTACTTGCATTCCAGGGCCAAATGAGAGGATATCCGCCGCCTTCGAACGCCATGCTCTTCGACGACGATCCCGGTATCATGTCGGAAGTAGAGACGAGCTCAACGGGATTCCGAAGAGGAGGCAAACAGAGAAGTTCGCTGCCTGTAGTTAGAACTCCGAGTAAAACGTTGGAGAGACCACTAGGTAAGAATTAATTATTCAGATTATTATCGAATTTCGTTCAGAGCTGTTCTCGTGCGAACACGAGTTGTTGTTCTTTTCGGGAAACGAAATTCCTTGTTTTCTTATCAGTCGTTATTAATTATTCTGATTTTTATTTCGGGGAGGTTGGAGGTTAATAATATGCGTTTATTAATTAAATTCCGTAAAAATATCGGCTTGTAGATAAGATTTTTTTTTCGGTCATAAATTTTCAATTAGCCACTCAGTTCAACGGACCGATATATCTACATGTAATCACTAACCGATCGAGCCGCGGCTCTTAATTGAAATTTAATCGAATTTTTCTTGCCGACCTGTCTTTCTAATTATTTTTTCAGGTTTAGTTTTCCTCCAATATCGCAATGAAACGAAACGAGCGCTTTTGCCCAACGAAATTACCTCCATAGATACGGTCAAAGCTCTGTTCGTGCGATCGTTTCCCAAACAGCTCACGATGGAGTACTTGGACTCGCCGAACGTCAAAATCTACATCCACGATTCTTCCAAAGACATGTTCTACGAACTCGAGGACCACAGGTGATTATTTAAGTCATACAACTTAATAACAACGATTGTATCTTCCTCGATTTGTTTTTATGCAGATCTCATTTGAGAGAAATAAGAGACCGATCGGTGTTAAGGCTCTTCGAGTCCGCTGATGTATCCGGGGGTTTGCCCATGGCAGGAATCGGAATAGCTGGTGGTGTTGGACATTTCGAAGATCCCAGTTACTTCTCGGAGCCGGAATTCGACTCGGAGTACCAGCATCAGCACATCCACAAAAGCAAGGTAAATACAAAAATCTTTAATTATATCAACGATTTCACGCATATTCTAAGGGTATTATAATGCTTCAGAAACTCGCAAATTAAATTACAATTTTATTGTTAACATTTTAATAAAAAAAATAACAAAATCATAAATACTAAATTAATAATACTAAGAACTCGAGTTGATGGCCAAAGGGTAATTAATTAACACATTTACAACATCTAAAAGACTTTACATTCGGGCACGGCGGGCGTGTAGAAAGCGCCGGAGTACAATTTCTTGGGCACAGTCCTCCAGCCGAACACCAGGGCCTTGTCGAAGGGCTCCGGATCGCAACCGGTGCAGACGTTCAGCACGGCTTTGACCTCGGCTTCGGCGGGTTCTCGTTCGTCCTCGGTTTGCTTCTGCTTCTCCGAAATGGCCTCGTTCTGACCGACGCCGGCCAGGCCGTAGAGCAAGCTCTGATCGAAGCTGTACGTTCCGCCGGGTCCCACCACCGACCCGTCGAAGATGCCGCCTCCCGCTATCTGCCTCCTCTTCAACTTGGTGCGCGTTCGTTGGTCGCTGTGCCGCTTGAATACGTTGTGGGTTTCGAGGGCTGCCGGTGCTGAACTGTCCGCTACAGCGTGATTGAAATCGGTGTCCACTATGGCAGTGTCGCCGAAGCTCACGAATTGTCTGGAGTACGGACCCGAGTCTTGTTGAGGCAAAAGGCCGGTATCTCTTTGAGGTAAAAATTGTTGTTGAGGTTGACTTTGTATGATTTGTTGAGGTTGACTTTGTACAAATTGTTGCGGTTGACTTTGCACGAATTGTTGCGGCTGTTGGGGTAATTGTGGTATCAGTTGTTGTTGTTGTTGCTGTTGTTGCTGAGCTGCCAATTGCTGAGTTAATAAATTGCCAACGAATTGACCGTTGACGAATTGCGTGTCGTATTGTTGGCCCTGCACCGTTTGAGGGCCGTTAGCTAGGTTAATTCGCAGGTTTTTATTTAATTGGCCGGCGGTCAGTAACGGGTGTTGCGGTAAGGCCGGTCTGTTTCTAGGAGTGGTCGGAGCCGGTGTGGTTATGGCCCTGCCGTTGTGGTCGAACTGATGAGCGTGGTGGTGCTTATGGTCTTTATGAGCCTTTCCTGCCGTTAGCGCGACTTTGTACAATTGCAGCATAGTAATTTCACCCAACATGCCCCCGGATCCTGCAAAAGAACCGAACGTATAAAGGCAAATTTAGTTAGTAGAACATACGTTTACGGCGATATTTTAAATTTTAGTGACTTTTATACGAATTTATTGAATTTCCTATACGTACATACGTTCCGGCAGCAAACGATAAATAAAATTTATGTGCTCGTATTACAAAGACAAGTGCAACTCGCTCGATTTTTCAAAAACTACCTTTGAGATTCCCGAGCGATTTGAATGCATATTTGTATACTATTTCATGAGTGTACTTTCGTACATTTCATTTACAATTCTTTTGAAAATCGCCTCGGGCTCAGCTCTTTTCAAAGCATTTGTCTGTATTCATTCTTTGATTCATTTGTCAGAAAGCTACTAAGGAAATAATCATATTGATATATCCTTATTTTTATTAAAAATGGTTGTATATTTACCCTTTGGAGCCTCTACACCTTCTTGGAATCCTCCTCCAAGTTGCCTCTGTTCTTGTCCAGTTATTGCGATTCCTCCACCAGGAATAACGTGATTAACCAACTGAAATCAAAGACATTTACATTTGCAAATGTGCATTCCTCCGGCGTGCATCCATAAGCAGCACAATATGCATATAAACTCGCCAATCAGTTAATCAGTCGTTGAAAGTAAAAAAGATTTAGCAGATTATTCCAATTTACATAATTCTCAATAACTTTCAAAACAAAAATATTTACGTCGAAGGTGTTTCCGTTCGAATCGCTTTGTTAATATTCCACAGAAGAGTTAATTTCCAGCGAAGGAAAATACGGTCGGAGTTAGTAAAAGTAGGTAATAAATTTCCTTAACCAAATAATGGCCAGACTTTACTTCTAAGAGCACCATTGCAGAAAAATTAACGCGCTATGTTTTATTTTAGGCAAGAGGAAAATGGACTTTTTACAATTTAAATTGCGAATTGCGCCGCTTCGCTCCGTACTTTGTACAAGTTCTGGAAACTGCGGGTCTAAATGAACTATAAATAAGTATAGTTCGAGTACGAGTTGAGCCATAAAAAGGACGGTTTTAATTAAAACCGTTTATTAATCAGACGGTTAAAGTGAATTTAAAAGATGAATGGGCTTGCGATGTAGGATTATTAAGGTTTCCTGCAATATTATCGCTTTTTAGATGATGTTTTGTCAGGATGTATTTGTTTGATACGAGCTCGTTTTCTACGAATTCGGTTTACATGTTAATTAGTTTTGTTCGAATTGGAATATGCATGTGGTGATTATTTAGGCATTCGGCGTAACTAAGAAAGCCGTAATAAAATTAAAGTGAAAGACAAATTTACCGACAACACATTTCAAATAATTTCCTTATTACTCGGCACAATTGTTGAATGTTAATGATATGTAGGTATTACGCGATTTGAAGAAATCTGCAAGTATAAATATAGGTACTCTAAAAATTATTATAACTTGTTGACAAATATTTTAACTATTCTATGAGCTTAATAATGTTGGTTAATGAGATTATATAATATGTATTCGTAAGTTCTAAACTTTTCGCTCATTAAAGCTTCTTAAATATTCAATTTTTATGCTTTCAATTTCTTCAAAAGAGTTTATACAAAGAAAAAAATCCACGGAGTTCTAAAAAGAATCTTTTTCAACCAACATTAAAATTTTCCTCTTCTTTGAGGCTTTCCCCGCAGCAAAAAAACGACTGGCTTTCTGGATTAAAAAAAATTCCCTAAGTAGCCCATTCGTTTAGCCGAAGTGCACGTAGAAATATTTTATTAACCAGAATAGGTAATTGTCTTAAAATACCGAGTTAAAATTATTAGTTAAATTGTAGCGGTAGCGGCATAATGGGACTTTGAGGGAGTCGAGCTTTAGTATAAATTTTAATGAATATGAATTTGTTACATGATTATTAGTTAGGTACTCTTTCCGTGTAATTAATACGAATGTCTTAATAATTCGTTTACTTTACGGCATACGAAAAAGTAAAACGAAATGGATAATTACCCTGTTATGAAAGCCCCTTCCGACTCTTTCCGCATTAACCCATATTTGCCATTCGCCGGTTTTACCGTTCCAGCTCTGGCATGTGTGATACCATCTGTTTAACCGGAACGGATAATTCAGCCTGTAAAACGTGTGGCCTTCGACCACCAAACTGAAGTAGCTCGATCTCTCGGTGTTTGAAATCCATGAATAAATCGCCCTCGGTTGGCCGTCCACTAAAAAAAACGAGGAATATTTTTTACAATCGTCGAAAATTTAAATTTTAATTCGTGCCTATCCGTGCAAATTATGACATCGCCTAATTTAGATTAAACGTCGTGAATCGTAAAAAATTGAAATGAGGAAGGCCGGTTCTTAATTCGGTTGAATTTGTCAGCTGTGTTTGCACGAATGTGACCGCTATTTGAAAATCGCCAGACGAGAGAATTTAAAGTGACCGCTATGTAAATGTTATAATTAATACCTATAGAATGCAAAAATTAAAAAAAATATTTATTTTTAGATGCAATAGATGAACTAATGCCTATTCTTAAAGAACTGTACCAGCTTCATTTTCTAACCAAACAGACTGAAACGTTTACAATGCACAAACACGAGTTGAAATTACTGATCATACAGTCCCGCAATCTTCACTGAAATCTATTAGATAGCTTGTGTGTAAATATGTATACTAATTTATAACAAAAGGGCTACAGTTCGTAAATTTCCAAACTGCCCGTTTAGTTTCGCAAAACAAATATCGCAGTAATAAATTACCAATTCCAGTTTTCTCTTTAGATGTGGGTACATGCAGCGATGCGGTGCAAAAAGTAAACTGGTAAATTAGTGATAATTAATTATAGCTTTCTTCTCCGGCGCCCTTTACTAACAGAGCCGGCTTTATTTTACAAACGCGTTGCCCGAGAAGATATTTTAATAAAAATGAATGGACAGAAGTGCGAAATAGTTTAATATTTAAAGTATGAGTAGCTATTAAAATTCTATAACCGCACCATTAAGATAATAAGATTAAGGCGAAGTCCAATTAAAATAATTATATAGCTAATAATTTAGTACGCAATATTATATTTATTAAAAAAAATCTTTGCTTTGAAAGTTGGATGACTTTGTATTTTGGTTGAATTATACTTTCAGCTACTTTCTGTTTGCTAATCTGATATTTACAAACTGTCACTGATATTCCTAAGAGATATGGAGCGAAATTCTGAATGGGACACACTGTGCCCTATATAGAAATTTAGAAACATAATATCTTTTTAGTATTTGCTACAAGATAATATTTCAGCTGCATTCCTCGACAAAATAAACCCCATATTACAATACACATTTTCAGAATTCATATTTTCCAAGAAATATCTACTCTATACGTGCATTGTCTTATCCTGTAGATAGTCTCTTTATTCATTCGTTCCTGTCCTAATATGTCGTGCATTGTCCTTATTCTATCGTAGAATATGTAATATTTTAGTGAGCCGGTTTTAATTTCTTTTCTGTCATACCGTAAAAGTACATTCCAAAAATACAATACTCGTATAAAAAACAAAAAAAACGAAGTTTCTGAATGAATTACCTATAGACTGTAGATTGCTGTAAAGCATATTTTGTTACAACCGGCCTGTTACGGTTTTATGTTTTTTTTATATTGGAGTAGATATGAAACGCATTCCGCTTGTCTTCCGGTAATTGGGCGCTACCGGAAGAATATTACTTGAAGACATAATGACCATTAATGCTGTTCAAGTAGATGGTTTTTTCGTGTAATTGACGGATAATAAAACAAAATTGGCGAAATGAATTTCTTGCTGATTTCTCTCGTCATATTTTATTAAATAATTATATTGCCATAAATTATACGCCAGTAGTTTTGTTGTTTTGTTTTCGCTCGTAGTTTGTTTTTTATATGTTAGAAATGGTATGAAAATTAATACGAAAATAAAGTAGAAGAGTAATTTGCTCACCTGCATAAGAAAATATCGGGTGATCATTGCTGTGATTGTAAAACTTCGTCCAAAAGCACAACGTGAACTGCTTCAAATCCGGTATTTCGGTTTTGTATTGAATGTATTGGAAGTAGAGGTCCTGCGTAAAACCTACTTTATAAACTTGGCACTGGTCTCTACCTGGTACCTGGCTTTGTTGGTAACTGGAAAATCGATAATTCCATTAAAAACTTTGCCTATTTTCAAATTAGTCGCCTTTGCTTAACAACATTTCTCCTTAATACATCTATTTTCTTATATGCGCGTATTCGAAAATTCAAAACTATGTAGGTTTAGAAGTAAATGTTAATTGCATAGGTATAATTAATGTTCATACTCTTCTTGGAATGCGGCTATAGGCGAATGCTGCAATCCTTGGTACACTTCGTGGTGATGATAGGGGCGCCATGCATCTGGATCGTGAACTCCAGCTGTGCAAGTTAATACTAGGCACAAGCCCAGATATTTGTACATAATTAAATCAAAGTGCTCGTGGTAAACTACAGGGTTGGTTAGACTTTTCTTCGGTTACGTGTCACTAGCTATCTGCATATGTCATCTGAAAGTATCAAAATTCCTGATTATTTTTTGCTCCAATTTTTTTATTGAACGATTATGTAATGTTTACCATTTTTAATATTGACCGTATTTTTTCTTTTTTTTACGTTTCTTACACATTAATCCGATTGACTTATAGGTATAATTATTTTTAATTGATATTTAAATGCTAAATTTATTATAATTAATAACTACTTGTTAGATGTTAATTGTATGAAATACCGTTTTATTGCAACTAACAATTTGAAATATCATAGAAGCCATAAAGCGCTATTGACCTAATTTATGCACATTAAAAGAGTGTTCTAATAGCATAGCATTAGTGTTTAAATGACATCTTTTAAACGTTACAATTGTTACCTACAATTTTTTAAGAAACTTTTAAAAGTTAATTGAAGCAGAAGAACAGTACTACCTATGATTAATTCTAGTAAATTTATCCTTGAACGCACTCCCATCTTATAATGGAAAATTTCTTTTGCAGGAAACGGTATTTTTGCAATATGCATATTATTAACGTACCTACAGAGTAATCCAATAGTAAAAATCTAAGGAATAGTATAGAACCTGTAAATAATATAATAAGAATTTTTGACGGTTTTCTCCGAACATCTACTAAGAAATAATGCTTATTATAGGTACATTGTACCATCTCGACAAAAACAATCACGATTTATATCTATGCACGTAATAAAACAATAAATAGGTGAAAGTGAAAATCAGTTGTTTGTCATTTAAAATTATGATAATTTTATTAAACGGCCTTGATTATATCACCTACATCTCTATACACACAATGACTAAGTAATTTCTTTCGAAGAGTTGGAATAGAATGCACTTATCCAACGATTACCATATCACAATACCTATCGACATTATTCTAAATTGCTTCATAAAAGACGACAAATCTCTTTGATCACAGGTGTATCATTTGACACGAAATTATAATTTTATCAAATAAAATCTTTAAAAAAAAATCTCAGTTATTAGTACTCGGAATAAAAGAAGGGAGAATGTATTTTGCGTGAGAATTTGTCAGGCTGCTTCAATGTCGAAGTACCAGCGAAAGATCTAGTGGAAAGCTATCTTGATCGTAAATCTAAAATAATCACAAATCATTACGATTAGCATATTACTTCATCATGCTCATTCGCTGTAACTAATCCAATTGAAAATCGATTTATTGGTGTGCAAATAAACGCGGAAGAAAGTTTATGGGAGAAGCTCCAAGCCATTCCAATGATGGTTTTCATTTCGATTTACCAACGTATAATACTGTGTGAAATCCCGCTGATTCAAATTTATTACTATCTCTTGTTAGCTTATATTGCTAACTAAAAATAAAGAATAAGAAACCAATTTGTGATTATTGAAACAAATCCTTTTAAAACACCCACTGATCTGGATTACGCCTTATTATTTTATTATTTTCACTGTGTTTTATGAAGTATTGTTAGGTTTCGACTCGATAATTAGAATCGCCGCAATTATCGTGTACGGCAATAAAGTTTCTTGAAATGCTCTTGGCGAAATCGTCGTTTCTTCCATTTTTTATTTTCGTCTGATACCAAGGTTATTCGGAGACAAAGATCGACCACAAACCGCGTTGTGCAAGTGGGTTTTTTAAGCATGAACAATTTTGTTACGCCACAATGAAGACTTGCACTTTAATAATCTCATTTTCGATTCAATTAAAATATTATTCGAGTAATTTACATATCTGTACATTGTAGTGATTTCCATAAACATGTACCTGTAATTATTTAATCACAAAAAATGACCAGGCAGGAAGGCAACTTATTTCCTTCAAGCAAATCAGTGATGTCAATGCTTCCTCAACGAACTTCCAATATAATTTACATGTTTGTCTAAACAACAAATTTAATTACTAACGTTACAAAAAGATTTGTGTTACAAACTATTCCATACAATTTACTTAATCTTATTACATATTTCAATATTAAACTTCCATATTATTTAAGGCGATAGTAAAGTTTAACGAGAATTTATTTCACAACGCTATATCAATGTGCGAGACAAAGTTAATAACGCTTTAAAAGGCATCTAATTAGAAGACAGGAATTGCTTTTTCCGACGAAATTAAATCACTGTAGTGTTAAATCGTAAGTCTAACTAGCTTCTCGGATAAAATTGCAAGGCGAGGTGTAGCAAAAAGTAACGAAAATTGAGCAATTCGCTAAGGACAGATGGTGATTATGACTTGGAATGTTACAAAAACCGATATGGAATGTAGATACATGTAACCTATTAATTTGTAATTTATTAAATTACTCTAAGCGGTCTAGATTTTTGAATGGCACATTATAGCATTTGTGACATTTTTTACAGATATAACTGTATATTGGTATGGCGTTCAACGTGTTGAACATTCACTTTTCTACTTAAAACTCACTAAATTATTTTGGTTCTCATCTCCTATTTTGGTATTCATAACGTAACTTTACTCTAATTATTCGAAGTTTCTATTAATTTACATACATATGCTATTGACCTTCGGGCAAGTAATGATTTATTGAATTTCTCTGTAAATGTGCTATCTATTTTACCAGATAAAAAACAGCAAATTGCTGTAATAACACACACAGAAGTACCTATTAGCTCTCGTTGAACACTAAACAAATCAAACGAAAAAAAAACATACCTTCTAATTATGGACGATTTGGAAAAATTTAATCTGCAGATAATCGATAAACAGGAACATACTTACCTCTTTAATAACACGCTTAAGATTTCCTTTTGGTCTACGAGTAATCCTTATATGTATGTCTTTGATGCATGATTATTTTGCTTGTATATTTTTTATTTGTTTGTATTTTCTAATGTGTCATTTGTGGAATGTATTTTATTTTCGCAAGCTGTAATAAATATTCACACTTTGAGTCTGACTGTGCATTTTATTACTTAGAAATGTAGGTACATAAGACATCTATCTACATAAAACAGAATGTGCAAAAGGTATACTACAATATCTACTGTTTATCTCACTGGTATATGAAGACAATTTTGGTATTATATAATATGTAATGGCTTTTCGATTTTTTTATAACTCGTTTTTAGCTATACCTATAACTTCTTTACTCAGTACGCCCAAATAGCGGGATGGAGGCGGTTAAAAAATAACGCAAGATTTTACTGAAGCAAAATAATCCCATCGAATATTTTGCTTTTATTAAATAAACCGGCTCTTTAAAGTGGATTACCTAGGTTACGAAATTTACTGAAGTGGAGAATCCTGAAATAAGCTTATAATTCATTCGGCGTTTCAGAATATATCGCAATCTCGAGAAATGCAATAGAAAATGAAAGTTTTGTTATCATTATTCACTCCGCTCGCTTCCAGCTTTAAATGTAAATTATATTTTACTTATAGCGCGCTTAATTAAGCTATCGGTTTATTAACTTATTAACATTTATCGGCAAATGCAGATCTATTAGTGCAATTTTTACTGTTATTTTAGAGTTACAAATCACTGCAATTGATATTTTATATAAATAGTTGGTTATGTAAACAAAAAGCATACAAATTTAATTAAGTGCACATCAAAAGTTGATTGATTGAATTGATATTACAAAGTTAACATGCAATAGAATTATTATAGGTATAGTAATATTATTTACGCTTATTTTAACCGCTTATTTTAATATTTAAGGAATTTGGTCAGTTCTAATAAAAATTCATTTTTAAAACGTTTTTCTTTGTTCTGCAGAAAAAAAAAATTAAATTATTTAATAAAAAAAGAAAAAGTATTTTATGAATAATTTTCTATGATGGTTTTTGAATTATTACGAAATAGAGCGTTATTTAAAAATTCAATACGAGTATATTTGAAGTATTTTTTATTATTTTCAGGCCTTCAACTCGAAATTAATTAAAACCTTATCATGCGTGGAAATTCCTAAAATTGAAAAATCTTCATGCTTTCTCGTTGATATTTTTCGTAGCATAATTGAAAAGTATCGGTACTCAAAAAAAAACAGATTGAATTAATAAAGGTAATTCGATTATTTTCCAGGTCAAACAGAACTAATTAATTAGTATAATTTTGCTGAATTTACGTGATTGCTCTTTGATATTAATTATGTGTTGGGTATAATTGTTTTATAATTATGCTTATTAGAGACACTATTTTTAATAAAATGCTTGTTTTACAAAATAAATTAAAAATATTATTTTATATTAAAATAGTTATGTACCTACTATTTTATAAAATATATGGAATGTATCTATAACGGTCTCAATTAATTGACTCATTAAGCTACCTAATATTCATATTATTCAAAATGACATGTATTTATTATAAAATAAGTCTATTATTTCTGAAGTTAATGCAACAATTCACAATAATCAATCCATAATTAAACGATATAGAGTAGGCATAATTCGTATTTCTAATACAATTAATTACTTACATCCAATAGAGCCTCCAAAAAGAGAAAAAATAAAAAAAATCAAAGCACAGTCGAACGCACGGAGCCCGTTACCGTTATCACCAAAACCAATTGGCAACTGTTTGTTTGATATTCGAAATTCAGTTTCCTCGTGGTCGCATGTCCGACGAAGACTTAATTTTCTTACAACAGCTTCCTCGTATACGTGGTGGGGTTTTCACTTTCCCTTCGTTCGACCGACAGCGCGAGAACACACCGTAACGGCTTGCCGTCTGAATGCCAGCCTAATGGTATATTCTCTGGCCGAGTTCTGGTTTTCGATTGTAGTTTAACAGGCTCGTAAAATATAACAGTACACCCCTGACCAGTTAATTTGGCCCCAAGGAAGCTCTTGCTTTTGATTTAGAGGGTTCTGCTTGAATACGATGAGATTAGAGATAAAGTTTGTTCGTTTACCTTATGGTAGGTAAATTATTACGAAGAGTTTCGAAATTTTTGTACTATCAAATTTTAAGATTTTGGACATTTTTGAAGAAATTTTGATTTTAGACAGTTTTTTAATGTATTGCAGATATTTAAATATTTCACAACTAGTAATTTTGACAAATTCAAAATTATTGTGAATGGATTTTTATATTCCTCAGAAGTTTGATGATTTAAAACCATTTTCCGGTTTTTTTAAAGGCAAGCAATAACTCTGTCAGTCACGCCTGGTTTGCGTAAGAGCCATATTTCAAGTTACAATGTATACCTACATTTCAAGTTTATTTTACTTAAAGTTCAATGAATTAAACTAATTTGTTTTCATTGATTAATTACCTATAGGTAAATTGCATACCCGATAATTGGGTAATTTTTTACCACTAGCCTTGC